ATACACAGAATAAAAAAAAAAATAGCAGTGTCGAGAATATATATATGAAATATTACACCTTAAGTATTTACCCCCATTGTCTGAAATATTGCACCAATAATATTGCACAGATGATGAAGCAGTCCGGGTACATGGGGCTGTTCTTAAAGCAGTCTGGGGTTATTTAGCATTTAGCAGTTTGATGGCCAGAGGAAAGTAACTGTTTCTGAGTCTGTGGCGGATGCTGTTAGCTGTTTGATGTTTTTTAATGGCTGTAGGCTTGTGTCACCAACATCAAGCTACAATTTCTAAGAAGCTTGATTCATAATGAGTCAAGTTTAGCAAAAACTTAAATATTTTGTGTTTCATTAAATTTGAGGTCACGTTAACCCCCTAAAACCTGGGAGTAGGTTTAAAAGGATAGTAATCTTTAAAAAAATCAAGTTGACACCATTTACCAGAACCAGAGGCTGTTGTTTTCTGGTATTAAAAGCAGCTGTGGGCACTTGGAAAAATAATGCACACACTGATGTACACATTTTTTCAATTTTGTGGAATACATAATCAAAGATATTCAACTTTCAGCATTTTTTTTTCTCTTAATGAGTTTTCTTTTCAATATAGGTTTGCTCCACTGCACAAGATATTTCTGAGTTCTCTCTCCTTCTAGCCATGGTTGGAATTTTTTAAAAATTAATTATGTATATTAGAAATACAGATACAGCTGGGAAGAACAATTATTCTTTCACCAAAACAGCTAACACACTGCATTCTATGTTGTATGAAAGTTCGAGTTCAAAATTGGTTGAGCACAGAACAGAAACCAGTCACAGATTGTCCTGTCACAGCAACATGGGGGCAGAACAGCAGCTTCTGATCTGTTTGTGTCTACATGTGGTGAGTTAAGACACAATACTGAATGTGGTTCACCTGCAGTTCGGCAACACTCGGAGCCCAACACACATTTAATATAGCAACACATGATAAACAGAAGAAATAGGTATGAATACACTTCAGGTTGCAGCTACAAGAGTAAAGTCTTTGAAAACAGTGATACGATTCAAATTGAAGCATAGCTATATACTCTATATAAAAGTCTTTTAAGAGCCCCTAACTGGATACGTTTGGAGAAAATCCTGAAAGTAAAGGGATCCTCAGTCCTCATGTTTCAGTCTAGGAGTGGAACTAGTTCCTAAGTTGTCCTGAGACTTCTTCACCTGCTGCAGGTGAAGACAAGTTACAACTATAATAACCTTTAAACCGAATACATCAACCCTCCAAACCCCAAGCAACACCTGAGGAATTTTCTGCTCCTGTCATATTTTTTTTTTCTCACTGCGGGCTCATTTTCCTCCTCCAAGAAAAGTCTGGCACCTCCATGACACAGCACATCCATGCCTACAAGTGGAGAGAACTCGAGAAAATCCTCTGTGCAGTATGACAAAGTTACAGTATAAAGGAAAGCTGAATTTCTTTGATTACAAATGAAAAAAACCTGGAATCAGCATGCCCCACATTCAAATGTCCACAGGTGCTTCCAGTGCAGGAATACAATGGTGACTCTACATGCTATAGACATTTTTACACTTCTATTTTTTTTTTCAGACTACCAGTTTTGATACTACTCTGCACATCAACTCTTCAAATATACTTCCTATGATGAATGTATCTACCAACAACTTGCTTGGCTGTCTACTGTTTTGTTGCCACACTGCATTCATTTTATAGCTCAAGCATGTTTTATTCTCTATAATTAGTTCTGATCTAGCCTCTGCTCTCTGTAAACACAGCCTACATTTGTGGCAGAATTTTTGTCACTTAACTTGATTGCAGCAGAGTAAATCATATCTTCTCAGCTGTGTGGAGTAACGCAGAATAAAAAAAATTCTTACTGAGTCTGTTTAGTGCAAACGATTTGACAGAACCACATACGATCGGGTCAAAGACTACCTGAAAATTACTGTGGAACTAGACGCTAAGGCGATACCATCTAAAGTAACTATCTGGGCAGATAGTGAGTTTCTGAGGTGTTTAGGGCCAAATACAATAACCTCAGTTTTGTCTGAATTTAAATGAAGGAAGTTACAGGTCATCCAGACCTTTCTGTCCTTCAGACATGCCTGAAGTTTAAGTAACTGATTGATAACTTTGAATAACTTGTTTAACTGTAAACTAAATTTTATAATTCATCCTACATCCACCCAACCGGTCGAGGCAGATGGCCGTCCCTCCCTGAGCCTGGTTCTGTCTGAGGTTTTTTTTCCCCTACATGGGTTTTCGGTTCCTTCCCACTGTTGCGGACTGCTGATGCTTATAGGGAATCCAAATGTTTTAGATTGTTGGGTGTTTCTATCTCTGCCTTTGTGAAGCGCTATGAGATGACTTGTTGTTGTAAATATGCGCTATACAAATAAAATTGAATTGAATTGAATTGAATTGAAAATTGAGCGTCTGACGAGTCTCTGGCTTGGATTACTGGTGTCATTATGGAGATTTTAGAACGATAACCTGCCTTTCAAACCCACTGGAAAGTTAACAGAGGTTTGAGCATTAGCAAGGAAGGAAAAAACAAATCTGAGTGGGTCTTGCTTGAGTGTCATCATGTTCATTTCACTACAGAAGGCAGCGGGATCGGGTCGAACAGTGCAGAAAAATCTAGATAATATGAGCTAAAAATGTAGAATGCATCCATTCGTTGGTAATTTTGCTGTTGTTTTATGTTGCTGTTTTGGGGCTTTAGTATATCCCTAATTCTAATTAACTTATTAAGGTCGTGAAAGTGATCCTTTGGTTTGTGACCGTCTCTCTGCTCTGCTTCACACCTGTCTTTTCTAGTATGTGGTGGAAAACTTTAAATAGTTCATGTGAGCAGTGTGGTTCCCATTTCTAAAAATACAACACAACAGACTTCCTTATTTTAGTGGATGAACCACCTACACTAACCTACATGGTGTACTGGTTCTTGCTTGTACTATGATATCCAGTGTGTGTGTCCAGTCATATATCACATCCAGTCTAATCACACGGAAGGTCAGTGAACTACTATAGATGACCTCCTGCCCGTCTCTCTCTGCCCTTCTTCCCAACAGGAGTACTACATCGCAGACGCCTCCGAGGACCAAGTGTTTGTGTGTGTGAACCACCTGAACAACGTCACACACCTCTACATCTCAGACACACAGGGCCTCTCCTTCTCTCTGTCTCTGGAGAATGTGTTATATTACAGTCCTGAGGGATCTGGCAGCAACACGCTCATCAGGTACTGCCACACACACACACACACACACACACACACACATTATTTTTAATTTACTGTATCCAAACCTGTTAGGCTGATTGGAGACTAAAGTTCAGTGAGAGCCACTCATTAGTAAAGTGCCAGAATAACTAAAAAGACGTCACCCACTTTGAAAAAACCTTTAACTGACACTCTAAATCTGCCACTGTCGTATCACGTAGCGGCTTCAGAAACTAGATCCCTTCGCTTTTTGCACTTTATCGTGTCGTACATATCATTTTTAAAAATAAAGGAAATTGCCATTAACCACATACCCACAACAGCTGTGTAAAAACATGCTTTGCAAATCTATTAAACATCAAAATCTAAACTGAGTGTGGTCAGAGCACACCTGTGTATATAAGATCCCACAACTCTCGCTACATGTCAGGACAAAACCACAGCCGTAAAGCAAACTGTCTGTAGACCTCCAACGCAAGGGTATAAAACTATTCCTAAGTGTTTCTGGGAGCACAGTGGCTTCAGTTACTGTAAAATGAAATAACTTTGAAACCACTAACACCTGTGAGAGTTGACCGTCTGACCAAACTGTGCAAGAACGGCTTTAATCAGGGAGGTGACAGAGCTACTGGAGCAGAACATAGCAAGTCCTCTACATAGAGAGGAGACTCTTGGATGAGTTATCAATTAGGCCTTCATGGTGGAGCAACTAGATAGAGGCCTAGCTGAGAAAAGGGGAGTGACAACCTGTTTGGTGATTGTCAGACAACATTTAAAGAACTCTTGGAGAATGAGGGAGAAAAATGAGTAAATTAAACTCTTTGGGCAGAACTCCAAGCACTATGTTTGCTAAACACCAGGAACTGCTCGTCACCTGCTAATACAATCCCTATGGTGAAGCACGGTGGTGGCAGCATCATGCTGTGGGGGTGTTTCTCAGCAGCAGGGACACTGGTCTGGACTAAGGGAGAGCAGTGAATGCAGCCAGACACTGAGACGCTTTGACAGCTTTAGATGATATTTCAAGAACAATTGTGTCTAAAAGCTGTGATGACTTATCCAAGAAAGTTGTAACTGCTGCCAAACGGGCTTCTACAAAACACTGAATTAGGGGCTTGAATACTTCTGAATATGAGAGTTTTCAGTGTTTAATACATTTGCAGAAATGTCTCACCTTTTCTCTTTGTCATTTATTAGGTGTAGATTGATGGGGTAATGGAAAAGTGACATTTACAGCACAAGTGTGAAAAACAGAGAGGGGTCTAAATACTTTCTAAATCAGGCTCCTGGGTTTTGTCCTGGATCAACACACAGCTGAATGTTCCTGGAATACTGTCATCCAGTCAGTAACCTGATCTGCTGCCTGAACCATCTGGCTCCTTCCCCTTTGATGCTTTGGCTTATTTGTTCCTTTTGCTTTTGGATATGTGATTGAATTAATCATGTGATCAAGCAAATTGTACCAGGATATAAAAATGAATCCGGTGTGTACCTGCAGTACAAATTAAATCTGCAGCCTTTGCAGTAGTTAAGTTGTTCCCATAGCAACCACAGGGACTGACAGGAAGGCCTCAAGTTCCAATTACAGATGCTTGGTAACAAACAAAGGCTTTGTAAACACAGACAAACAGCGCTTCCTTATCTAATAGAAACAATTTATTGATCTGATGCCACCGCTCTGTCTGACCTCTGCATCTATTGTTTTTCTGCTCGGTCTTCTCCATAATCACATCAGCAAGATGCTGGTGTTAGTTTCCGGGGCAGTCGCAGTGTTGTCTCAGGTGTGAGCCTGCTGATGATGATTGTTTCTGTTTATCTGGCACACTGGCTTTTGTTAATGCAATTAGCTGTGGATCTCTGGGCCTTCTGTTTCATAGTTCACCTTGGTAAACAGAAAGCGTTAGGCTGGTGAGAATGTTTCTGTGTAAAATGATGCATACAGTTTACTTAGATCCCGTCATTTCTTGGTGATACTGCTGAAGTTTCCTGTTTATCTCTCTGCTCTGTGTAAAGTCACCTCATGCAGCTGTGGGAAAAAAAAAAGTGCTGATACATTTAGTTTGTCTTCATCTGTCCTCCTGTGTTTCGAGTGAAGTCGAACGTGTTCTGAAAATAAAATACAATTGTAAAGCGTTTAAAGATGCTCATGATTTGGACACTGCGTCACATGGACAGAAGTTCTGAGTGTTCCCCATTGATCCCGGTGTGACGTTCCTCCTCTGTGGTTCAGGTACTTTGCCAATGAGCCGTTTGCCGACCTGCACCGCGTGGAGGGGCTGCGAGGCGTCTTCATCGCCACACTCATCAACGGCTCCGTCAGCGAGGACAACATGCGGTCCGTTATCACTTTTGACAAGGGCGGGACGTGGGAGCTGCTTCAGCCACCTGCTGCTGACAGCCTGGGAGGAACGATGGACTGCCAGGTACAGCGACCAGCCTGCGTCTTTAATGAAACTTGATTTATTGTTGTAATCCATTTCTTCAGTGCTGAACATAATCAAGCTTGTACACAGTATGTATCCTGCATATTTCCAGTCAGCTGTGGCACCGCAGAGAGATCACGATCTTGGCTTCGACACTGTACGTTTGTGGTCAAGAAGAATGTGGGTTGTTTTTGCAGGTGTTTGTGGTTAGGTGGGACGGAGATATTATTGGTCCATTGCTGCAAAATTAAAATATATATATATATATTTTCAACCATTTTGGAAAGAGATTCATTAGAATTCATTTCTGTTTTATGTTTTATTTCTTCAGTAAGAATGCCAAACCGTAGGTGGTCCCAGCTTCTTTAACATTAAACTTTGAGAGGTGTCAGAATCTGGACAAGGTTTATTGTGCAACTTTTGTTTTTTGTAATCGTTTCAGTTGTACCAGAACATTTACAAACGTACACGCATGCGGATACATTTAGGCAATATATATTTTGCTGTCCCTCTCAGAAGCCCATCACCTGGTTTATCAGCTGTCCCCATTCATGATGCAATCCATACTAGTTGTCCAGATTAAAAAGTACAAACGGCGCCCAGATTCTTACTCATAATTCCATCCTTTAGAACAGCAGCCTCCACCACGGACCGATTCCAAGCACAACAATTTTCTATAGACCGGTCCTTCCATCCATCCATCCATTATCTATACACCCCTTAATCCTCACTAGGGTCACGGGGGGCTGGAGTCTATCCCAGCTGACTTAGGGTGAAGGCAGGGGACACCCTGGACAGGTCACCAGTCTATCACAGGGCTAAGACAGAGACAGACAACCAAGCACACTCACATTCACACCTACAGACAATTTAGAATCACCAATTTACCTCAACATGATTTTGGACTGCTGACTATGCGTCAGGAAAACAAATGGCACTTAAATCAAATGCTTGTTATGAGAAGAGACTTTGCAATGAGATTTTCCGTCATCCACACCTTTATAATTCATCATTAAAAGAGCTGTAATTGAAGTAGCTGCTGCCAGAGTTAAAACAGGCTTTCATTTGTACAAGCTTTTCATTGACTGTGCCAAAAAAAAAAATGCAGTTGAAAGTTTTAAATTCTCCAGAAATCTTTTGCAGCATCTGCCAACTGTGCTCGGCACACATCAAGAGTAATTACTGACACGGTGCTACGGCTCTACCTGTAACCAGCTGCTGTAGCCTGTAGAAGGTTCAAGGTCACAGCCTTTCAGAAACAACCGCTGGAGCCCCATGTGTGTTTCTGTGTTACTATATGAGGGTGTCTGCATGCAGAGCAGCACATAGCTGTTGTAGTACGAGTAAAACTGCATCCTCTCTCCATTTTCAAGGTCAAAACTGTGAAAAGGCCTTGAGGATTTGACCAAGACACCTACTTGTGTATTGAAGCTGCGTGCAGCCGCTATCTTGTGCTCATGTCCAATACCTTCAGGTTAATTGCACTTTGGCGCATCATAGCACATTATCACACTTCCTGTTGAAAGTTGTTTTTATGAGTTAATTAAGGCAGGATGGTGGTTTACTATATGAATAAAGCTTTCACCGTGCTCCCTCGTACTACAAGTGGATGACCCTGACTGTTGTGATCTGCACAGAATGCAGTGTGTTGTTGAATCAATAACTTTATTTCTAGTTCAGTACTTACAGATCTAAGTACTTCGGTGCAAAAGGTAGAAGCACATAGAGTAGGACTGTTAAGGGAGAGAAAGCAGACAGAAAGAAGTGCAGTGAAACCAGCAGCTAAACAACATCACCTGACTCTCCCCTCCTCTGTCTCACCCCTCAGCTCAGTAAAGGCTGCTCTCTCCACCTGGCTCAGCGCTGGAGCCAGCTGTTCAACATCCAGCTGAGGAGGATGCCCATCCTATCCAAGGACTCTGCACCTGGACTCATCATGGCCACAGGTGGGGCAACAGGGAGCAGCAGCACAGATTAAGAGAGTTTCAAAAACATTTAGAAAAATCCAGTTGACAGAGATGTGCATCAATCAAGAAATGCTGGACGGACCTCATTTGAACTTCCATTGTGGATATGATTAGTTTTTAAGGCTCCCACTGTGTAAGAAGTGTGTATAAAGTTTCAGCGATGAAGTGACCCTTCACAGATTGGGCCTCTGAACTTTCTACCTGCCACTGCATTTTTCAGCAATTCCTAATACATGTAATCACATTTTACGCTTCTCTAACACTACTAAAACGCTTCTCTGACACTCCTAAAATGCTTCTCTAACACCACTAAAAAATCTCTGGGATCTGTGTGATGAACAGAACATAATCTTTTCTTAGAAGTTCCAGTTATTCTGACACAGTCACAGTGAGTCATAGTGATTGCTCTTAGTCAAAACAGATGAAGAGACTTTGGGTGCCATCTGTTGGAGGATGCCATGTGTCATTTATTTATTTATTTCTAGCCATTTCCTCTTGTTCTGATAGCACAGATAATTTTGCACCACACAGGAAACACGCAGTGCAAAACTACAAGTCTCCCTTCGTAAATGTTCTCTTCCTGTATCGTCCAAAACACCGGAAATGTGGTTGTACCCTGCAGAGGAGGTGCAAGAAACTTTAGCATGTTGTGTTCAGAAGTTTGTTGACTTGTCATAAGTGACGGTGGAACAGTTTGGACGTGTTGCAGTCAGATGAATTCATCAGAAAGAAGTGCAACGAGTTTCTCCGCTCTGCTGCTGAATCTCCACAGCTGGTAGAGAGCATTGATTTGTTGATACTCTCCAGTGTTTAGGAGACTGCTTCCCCTGCACCCAGCCAGTCTCTCTAATTAAATTCTTATTAGATAATGTGCATGGAAAGAGAGCAAAAGAGTGAGGGGGAGAGGAGGAGGAGGAGGAGGAGGAGGAGGAGGAGGAGGGAGGACTGGCAAACGCCGCCGCCATTTGCTTCGTTATCGCTCTCAAACAGATGGGCTAATTACTGCTGCTGCACCCAGCGGGCACTCGAAGGGTCAAACACACTCATGAATACAGGCATGAGTGTACATACACACACTGCACAGGCGTGTTTACATGCACAACAGCCTGAATTAACTGATCACACACACAGTCCTGTACAAGTTTCATTAATATGAATTACTATGAAAGAAGTATTAAAGGTTTTGGTAATATTATACGTATGTTAGAAGTATATAATATTGCTGTGTATAGTGCAGCTCACAGGTAAGTCATTCTAAATGTAACAACAGACATCTGAGGGCATTTTTTGATTATAGAAAAATAGACAAAAAAAATCAGACAAAACATTCTCACAATGATTTGTATGTATATAGTTTAGTTTAAGTTGATATTGATAGGTATTGATAATTTTACTGACCTATTTTTAATATTCTCGCAGTCATAGCAGCTGGACTTGCTTGGGTTTCTTGAAGACGTTCCACCTCTCATCCAAGAGGCTTCATCAGTTCTGACTGACTAGTTGGGAGTTCCAGATACTGACATCCTTAAGGAGCCATTAACACCTGAGTTTCGGTTTCATTTGGGGGTTTGTTGCTCCTCCCCCTCGTTATGTGAGTCATTAGTACTCCCCCTGCCACAATGGGGTTTATTAAGGTCTTTTGTGGCTATAGGTGTGAATGTGGTTTCAGGATATCTGGATCTCCCAACTAGTCAGTCAGAACTGATGAAGCCTCTTGGATGAGAGGTGAAACGTCTTCAAGAAATTCAAGCAAGTCCAGCTGCTACGATTAAACTATGAGAACAACCATGACCTGGAGGACTGAGAATCTTCACAGACCTATTTTTAATATTGAATTTAACCTCCTGACTTTGTATGAACCACTTACGCCTTTTTATCAAGGTACATTAATGATAACGCAACAATGAAAAACTCTGAATCTCACAGAATCTTACTTTAATACACATGAGAGAAAGAAAGCAACAAACCAGAAGCAGAAGGAGGGCAGAGGCCACCACACCACGCTTAGGTTAAGGTTCCGACTGGTTGGACTGGAGCACATGTTGCCCGACGAGACGGTACCTCACATCAACGTCCAGTCAGCCTTCGCAGCAGGCGACTGGGAATACATCGCTTAGTTGGAGGTGGTGGGGGGGGCAGGATTGTCTCATGAGATCAACCCAACCGGCTGCAGCCTCCACCAGAGGAGGTCTGCGGGTGCAGACAGGTGTGACGAGAGGTCCGGGTGGCGATGGGCTAGTGTGCCTCAAAATACCTGCATGAAAGTCACAGGGAAGAACAGCAGAGGGCAGAGACTCCATTATCAGGGGATGTGATGGAGTGTTGTGAGCCAGGGAGGGAGCACACTTGGAGGATGTTAAAGCAAGCCAACATTGCGTCTTTATGTACTCTCAGGGCACTTTGCATCCAATGCATCTAAGTGAAACTATCAAACATTCTATTGAACTATTTTTTTATTTTATTTTTTATTGCTATCGATAAAGAGTTTATTGCCGGTACATATCGCCAGTGCTTCATTGTCCACGCCTGTTTTCTTGTATTGATTCTAAGAAATCATTCCTGAAAACGTTTTATTTCTTTCTTTTGTTGTTAAAATTACCATTTTAACAATATTTAAAATTAATACTTCTCCTCTCATCCAGTTTCCACAAGTTTAAAGATACTAAATTTTGTAAGAGCATATTCAATTAACAGCTGCTCTTCAACAATATCAATAATCTATCTTTAACTGGTGAGAGTGATTAAACGCACTAATAATTACACACACAGTGACAGCATGTTTGTGCTTGCCAGTTTCATATCGGCACAATGGCAGCTGCTTGTTTATTGTCTCGGGTATCTGGCTCCTCGTGTGATGATATTTAGGGAGTCATTAGCCCGTTTTACACGGAGTGTAATTCATTTCAGAGGCGTCGTTACAGCCCTCGACGACGACACGGCAGTCATGTTACTCTCATTTTAATCTGCGCTTCTTGAAGTCATTCACGCTGAAACGATATTTGATAATCAGGACTGATGTGTATCGACGTAAGCAGGTGCCCGTCTCTTCTCAAGTGTCACAGGCAGAAAATGCTGGTATTAATCATTCAGAGATGCTATTGTTCCTGATGGATGGATGGAGGGACGCATAGATGGATGTGCTTTGGAGGATGTTTGTCAGCTGAGACATGACATCTTTTCCTCAGCTTGTTGTCCAGTTCTTACAGCCTTACCTGCTGTGCAACTGGAAGAGAAGTGTTACATAAAAATTGCATGAATAGCAGCTTCAGACTTTAATCTCCACATATTCCTTTTCACTCTCTTTCTCCTACTGCCCCTTCTTTCACCTGGATAAACCAACAACACTTCCTAACACAACTTCTCCATCTAATGCCCCTGCACAGATCGTTTGTCCTTTTTGTAAGCTGCAGATAAAAACTGCACTGAACTGTAAGAAGACTTTGCAGCCACACTAGCAGCTCTGTGAAGCTCTGGTAACGTTAAGGGCACTTTGACATAATGCTAACATCAGTGAGAATGCTAGTGTGTGTCAGGTGAAAGGTATAAAAAATAAAGCTGAGGATGAGGAGAGTGTTACTACTTGTGCAGATATTTGATCATCAGCAAACAATAATTTTGACCCAACAATAGATTTAGACAATAAACCAGGTGATCATCAAAGTTTCTGCACTTCTTCATCTGGCGACCAAGAATATATGCGTTTCATTTCATGGCAGTCCATCCAGTTGTTGCAAAGACATTTTAAGCTGAAACAAAAATCTCTGTGACACGAGATTAACCTCCTTAATGTCGTCATCCCACCAAGTCTGCAAGGATTCGCACAGAGCCCTCGTCGGACGGCTATGTTCAGCCAAAAATGTGTGACTACATAGACTGTATACACTGAAAAGTCACCTACTGCACATGGTTAGGGTTAACGGTGCCGAAAAGTAATGCCTGGTATGAGGACTGACTGTGTAAGGAGATTCTCTGTCATCTACACCTTTATAATATATCTAATATAATAGTTGTAATTGCAGTAGTTGCTGCCAGACATAGAATATGATTTGATTTATACATGCTTCCATTGGCAAATGTGGCAAAAAAAAAAAAAAAAAATACAGTAGGAAGATCAAAACTCTCCAGAAACCCTGTGCTTTGTCTGCCTGCTGTGCTCCGTACACATCAGCAGTAGTTGGTGCTGCAGCTCAGTCTGCAACCAGCTGCCGTATCAAAGGTATAAACCTGAAAAAAAGAGAAAAAACAAAGTTGCATTTCAGAGTGCAGATTGATTTTTTATTTTTGGTTTTTTTACAAGATCTGTTTGCACTTTTTTTTTTTGGCAAAGACACTTGTACAATGAGGGGGCTTTACTGAAATATCACAACTTAAATGTCAAATTTGCAGCTGTGTTTCATACATGATGAGTGTTAGGAAACTCCCACACTTCCACTTTTCATTGTTTCAGTTTCTGACTCTAATTTCGACAATTTAAAAAACAAAACGAAACATGTCTGTCTCACTGGGTTAATGAATGAGAGGTATGTTTGCAGGTTTTTTTTTTTTTTTTTTAGAGATGCCTGTAAAATGCACTAGTGATGGCAATATCAGTCAGTCGACCCACAACTTTGGACCAAATGGATTGTCCTCAGATTTTGTACAGGCATTTAATGCTGTGTAAACATTTAGGAATTAAAACAGGAGGGTGTTCTTAAAGCTAGTGTAGTAGAGAAACAATCAAATGAATATGTGGTGACCTTTGCATCAGCTCATCTCAACACACTTTCATACAGTTTATAAATTAGTTGACGGGTAGGTTGTTCAGTATCTCTGAGAACTTTCCACAGTTTTCTGTGGATTCAGTCCGTGTCATTGTCTTCTGTCTCTTCACCTAATCCCAGACTGACTCCATAATGCTGAGATCAGAACTCAATAAGAAGTTAGTTCTTTATGGCTGCGACTGGATGTTCAGACTCATTTTCCTGCTGCAGAGTGATTGTGAGACAATCAGACGCCTCCCTGATTGCATTGCGTGACAGAGAAGAATCTAAATATCTGAACTGAATAAAAATTCTGGACCAGTACTGAATATGTTTAAAGCCATCATTGAATTATTTCATCCTCACCAGGCCTTCATGCTCCCTACCAGACAAATTGTAGTAACCTTGACAGATTTTATATCGCAGCCAAACTCAATCCGACAGTAGCTTCAGACCTCGACCTTTCTGAATGCACCAGTCTCGCACACACACACAAAGAAAAAAAAACATGTAATACCCTCCAAAAACATCTCATAACACTTTAGTGCTCCTAGCGTCAAAATCCCTTTTGGGAAAGAGTAACAACTTTATTGACTCTAACACCACCCTCTGGCCAGCTTTTACGCTTACATCACCACAACTGCTCGGAATTGAAAACAGTTTTGTCGTTTCACAGCTTGATTTGCTTTCCATACAAAGAACAGTTGACTCAGTGCTATTAGTTTTCTGAAAACAAGTAGAAAACAAAAAAACAAACCTTTTCTGTATTTCCGATTTCATGATGTCCTTTTTGTAAATTGTCTGAGCAGATCATTCCTGGTGATCAGCTTTATTAAATAACAAATTACTGTCAGAGGAAAGTTTGTCAAGTGCACACAAAGGCCACTTGCATGAAAAGATACCGAATGCTCTAGTTTGAGTCTTGGGTTACAGATTTTCCATATGTGAAAGGAAAAAGTGGCCGCATCAACTCTGTAATAATCAGGGAAAACCCCTATAGTGTGTGTGTGTGTGTGTGTGTGTGTGTGCGCGCGCATGTAAAATGGCTTTTTGTCCTCTGATTGCAGGATCTGTAGGCAGGAACTTGGCCAACAAACCCAACGTGTACGTCTCTAGCGGCGCTGGAGCGCGGTGGAGAGAGGTCAGTACGAAATCCTACAGAGATGACAAAGAAAGCCCAGCATGTAGAACTGAAGCACAGACAGAAAACTAAAACACATGCCAGTGCCTGTAAATATATCTAAGCTTTATGGACTTTTCTGCACATTTGCAATCACTGACCTTCACGGCAGTTTTAAAAAAAGACATCTGGATAAATATGGGCATCAGTCGAGACCCAAGCTTTCCTCTGCCTAATGGACACACTGCACTATTAATTCATTTAGTTTGGAACATAGACTACCCTTTATGTGTTCTTTAAGAGTAAATTCTGACTCGGATGTTTCAGAGAATGACCCTCAATTTCAAACAGCATTAAGTTGGGTTGTGCTGAATTGGTTTCTGTGTCAAAATACTAAAGCTCGTTGCATAGCTCCTGATAAAAGAACAAAGGGGACGTTTTATTTGCCCTGTAATGCTTAAATATTTTGCTCTTTGTGTGACATTCTCGGATTTCTATTTAAGTTAGAGCAGATTTTTACACATCAGGTACTGTTGCCCTGTTGCTTACCCATTATGGTAGAAACCTATTTGCTTTATTACTTTTGTAGCGTTTTGCTTGGACTCTAAAAAGCTTGTTATGTAGTGTTGGCTCATCAAATTCATAAAATGAAATCACATTTGATTGGCTGTAACCACCCCTGAGGGCAAGATGAAGAGGAGAAAGATGTTTTTGTGCTTTTAGAAAGAAGACATATTTGACATAAGTGGACGTATTGATTCAGAAATACTCAAAAACAGTTTTATTGCAAAACTATTCCTTTGTGACATTACCTGATATTCTGCTGGTTTACAGTTTAGAGTGAACCGTCACAGGAATTGTGTCCGATCGAGGAAATAAAATTGCCATTTTAATGAGGTTATTAAAATGTATTTAGAATTGGTTTTCAAGAAATGCCTGTTCTAGCAGTATGTTGGGATAGCTGACTGACCATGCCTCCTGTTACCCAGGCGCTGGCAGGCCCTCATTTCTACACATGGGGCGACCACGGTGGCATCCTGATGGCCATCGCACAAGGAGGCGCCACCACACATCTCAAGTAAGTCTCAAACACCCCAGTTTAAACGCTCACCCGGTAGAGAAAATAAATCAGATTTAGGCTCGCAAGCATCAAATCCAGAGAGGCTCGTCTGCACCTGGAAGGTTTCCACACGAAATCCCCAAACAACTCGAGGAAATGTGGGACGTGAGGCACATAAACGGCACCTGCCCCGTGGATGTGCTCATTACTCAGCAGGAGCAGATTGTGTTAATGTGATGCAGCGTGTTGGAGTTGAAACACAAATACACCTTCCCTCAGTAAACACAAGTGTAATAAAACACCTCTGTGCCAACAACAACATAGCAGGCAACTCATTTTCACGTGCAGGTGATGCAGTATATTAATGTGAAAACAGCTGACCTCATTTACATGCAGAGAGGAGTCACTTCCCGTACCCTGGTTACATACTAACCTGCTTTTCGCTTCATGTATACAAACGTCACTATAGCTGGGTTAAGCCACCCAATTAAAATACACGCTATACTCCTACTTTACCTCCTTTGTGATGTTTTTGTCTTCCTTACTTTTCTGTTGTGCAGCAGGGAAAGCGTGGGTAGGCAGCAGATGATCAAAAGGGACTAAATGCTCAATGCAGGTTGTTAACAATACAAGCTGAAAAGCCATCACTAGATAAAGAAACAAAAGACGAAATAAAATTTTTAGATCTCTCACTGGCAAAAAAAATACAATTATACTTGAAATATCGTCCCTGTCAGATTCAGCACCAACGAAGGCGAGACGTGGACGGACTTTAAGTTCTCAGATAAGGAGGTGTACGTGTACCAGCTGCTGACGGAGCCCGGAGAGAAGAGCACCATCTTCACCATCTTCGGCTCCTACGCTGAGCAGAGACACAGCTGGCTCATCCTGCAGGTCAACACCTCCGACGTTCTGGGTAGGTTGGCGAGTGAGAAGGAGGTGCAGAGAGCTCTTGTGTTAGCGATCCTCAGCTCTTAGCAACAACAGCTCACAGCAGCTGTTTCTAAGTGCAGGCTTGAGCTGTGTCAGAATCAGCTTGTTAGTGAACTGACACCAAAAGACTGCACATGAAAGATGTGTGTAACCTCTGTGTCTTAAAAGTTAACCCGATGCAAAGGTAACTTAAACCTGCATTCTTTCTCATAGCCAGCAGGGGGCGACTCCTCTGGCTGCGATAGAAAGTCAGGTTATATAGCAGTCTGTGAGTAAATGGCACCACTTCTCACTTGATCTGCTATCTCAGTAAACATTTTCTTAATAAGTCTATGGTTTTGATTGCTAATTTCAAGAATTTTTGAACACAGCGTGACCATTTAGAGTAAAATAGACCTTTAAAGGGCACTTCTTGAAATACTTGGAAAATGAACATTTCAACCCTAGGGTGTTATTGATGGATATTTTACAATATTTTTACTTTTGTGACTTAAAAAAAACATGTTGCAAATCAAGATTAATAAAGTTACCATATATGGTAACTTGCCCATTTATGGTTTTAAAAAAGGGAATTTAGAATGAATAAAAGAAAAAGTAACAAACTGCAAAAAATCATTTATTTAGAAACATTTTAGTTTGAGGTAATGATCCTTACACAACCAGTAAAGTATTTATAAAGTACTTGGGAAGTTCATTTGGTACCATTGTTCTTGGGGTAGTAGTTTTGGCACTGATCTCACAAAATAAATCAAAGTGGAGTTTAATGCAAACCAGTAACAAGTGTTTATAAAGTGCCTGAAACATTTGTTTAGTCACATTTTTATATTGGCACTAATATAAAAACTAAATCAAAGTGCACATGGTTCTTCAACCTCAAGGAGAGGCACAGGGTGAACATGTTGACCGTCCAAGGAAGTTACCAAATATGGTCACTTGCCCCATAAAGGGTTAAAGTGGGGGGGTTACCTTGTGATTGACAGGTTGTTATCACATCGCTGTGCATAGTGTCTGTGGGTTTTCAGGCAGATCCACCCATCACCCGCTACGTTCGGTTTCAAAAGACCCAGATGGTGACGGCCAAATGCCAAACCGAAGGCTTCAAAAACAGTTCACAAACCAATGGATCCATATGTCCATCTTTTATATGTTCACATCAAATGTCCAAAAGGTTTCAGTTAGTTAAATTTGAGCCTTTGAGTAGTGAACAGTGGACAGACTCGCACTACAATTAGATTCAAAATAAAAGTTGTTAAATGAGTGTAGGATTAGCATCGTTCTGGTCGCAGCCAACGGTAGAAAAAAAAAGATCCCTATGCAGACATTTGTCACCAGCTGAAATATTTTCCAGGTGTTCCTTGTTCGGATGCCGACTACAAGCGCTGGTCTCCGTCGGATGAGCACGGCAACGAGTGTCTGCTGGGCAGAGAGATAACGTTCAAGAGACGAGCTCCTCACGCTACATGTTTTAACGGAGAGGACTTCGACCGGCCGGTCACCATCTCGAACTGCTCCTGCACACGGCAGGACTATGAATGGTGAGAGAACCACCCACACGTTTCCACTGCTCACTGTCCGTGTCAGTACGAATGGTTAAAGAAAGCACAAGTTTGGGTTATGTGGATTTTATACAGATACACTAAGCTGTGAATAGGCAATGGTTAATATCTGGACGAAACATCAGATATGTAAAAGACCTTTAAATATGTAAAATATCAAAAATAGCGTTTCTAGGCTTCCACAGTCAACTGCTTTACATTATTAATTTGCATATAATTATATTATAACTGTGAGGTTTGCAAAAATTGGAAAATCTTCAGTCTTTTAAAAGTTTTTTATTTGTTGGCCTTTTTGCCTTTATTATAGAGGACAGTCGAGAGAGAGACAGGAAAGTGGGGGAGAAGAATGGGGAAAGGAATTGCAGCAAAGGGCCATGAGTGGGATTCGAACTCATGGCCGCTGCGTTGGGGACTATAGCCGTTGGGGACTATAGCCCCTGTACGTGGGTCGCCAGCTCAACCAGTTGAGCTATAGCAGCGGCCAAGGAAAATCTTCAATCTTATTGTTTTTGACCTCAGATGTTACATAAAATCTATCTATGCACCATAATTATTAGCTAATTTCTTTGGTTATTCATTAATTTTCCGCTTCTTATCCAGATCCAGGTTCTGCTAAATGATTATTAATGATATTGTTAGGATTTCTGCAGCCATGAAGTACTGACAAAGGTGATTTAAATGAATGGATGCACTTCATAAATACTCCTTGGCTGCTTTTCTTTGATTTCTTTTAATACTATGATTGATATGATGTTGATAACAAGAAGGTTGTAATCTAAATGTAGAAATGACTCACTCAGGTATAACGTTCTGCAGTTCTTCAACGGTTAAACGGCTCTTATAGGACAAAGCGATTCAAATTGTCCCACACTACACTGAAATAAAGACTTTCAGATGGAAATCTATATTCATGAGGTTTAGTGTGGGCAGGACATGTGTCACATCAGAAGCAGATGGTACTGACTGACTCGTATCTGATGCCTAAACTTCACTATTGGCTAAACAAAACATTAGCCCAAGTGACAAAATGCCCATCAGATGTTGCCTTTAACCAGAAACCTAACAGTTCTTCCCTTTTTTTTTTTTGCCTCTTCCTCCTTCTAGTGACTACGGTTTCAAGCTGAGTGAAGACTTGTCTCTGCAGGTGTGTGTTCCTGACCCTGAGTTTCTGGGTGACCTCTACGCTCCTCCAGTCCCTTGCCCAGTCGGTACCAGCTACCGCCGCAGCAAAGGGTAAGCTGCTGCTAACTGACTTCATACTGCAGAAATGTGAAGTTGTTCTACTGTGATTTAATAGCAGTACATGGCCATATGCTGCAGTAATGGATTTTACATGTACAGTTGTGACTCGATAATCCGACCCTTAACAATCCAAAACCTTGCTATCCGACAGGTTTTAGGGAAAAACGAACGGAACCCATGAAAAACAGCCTTAACATACCGACAGCCTTGGATTCTGACTCCAACATGACATTTTATGTCACCAATCAGGATAACGGCGTATTATCTGATTTAACAGTCCGACAGATTGGCTACGTTCAGACTGCAGGACTTAATGCTTAATTCAGATTTTTTTGTGAAATCAGATTTCTTTGTGAGTTCGTTCACATTTCCAGTTAAACAGGACTTGTATGTGATCTGCTGTGTGATCTTCATACGACCCAAAAGTGTCCCGCATGCACAGAAGAGGACACGACGACGTCACACTCAGCGAGCGTGCTCAGTGTTTGTGGAAGTAAACAAGGATGGTAACGGTGGAGTGTTTCTTGCCCGCCACTCCCCCGCCGCCACTGATGGTGGAAACAGAAGTGTGACCGCTAACTAAACTGGCATCAGCAGCCAAATACTGCCTGTACGTTCCAGCCACTTCCACCCTGTCAGAGCGATCCCCGGGGTGGAAGTGGCCGGAACATGCACAATCGCACCGGTCAGTTAGGCTGAAATCCAGCGATGCGTAGTGTTCTAATAACACACTAGTTATTATAACAACTATAAACAATAAATATTAACAACAAATGAACCTTCCAGCATCAAGCCCTCCTTGTATCTCGATGCCATCCTGACGTCTTTCTATCCGACATAAAAGAAGGTTTTACATTTAGTGTCGGATTATCGAGTCATGACGACTGTGGTTAGCTTTTCCTCTTTAGTTTTATATTTGCATTTGGGAGAAAGCTAAATCTAGCCTTACATGTGTAGCAAAGAGTTTCTTTTATAGATTTTTGTCTACTGCAGATGCCAACGTGACAATAAAGCCTAAGTTTGAAGTAAAATTTGGAAAGTTCCTGGTTTGATGTGAATGTTTTTGGCTCGTCTGGTCACATTGAGGACGCTGCTTTTATAACTCTCAGCAAGTTTTATCACCTGAAATTGTCCCCTTGCTTTGATTGTCTTTGCTTTGTTGTTACCTGTTTCTCCTTTTTTTTTTTGGTGAGAGCACCATCAAGTGTCCAACTGAGACTCTCTTTATGTTGCCACTGCAGCTACAGAAAGGTACCAGGCGATAGCTGTCGCGGAGGAGACGTGGAGTCCAGACTGGATGGAGAGATGCTGCCCTGTCCTGTCGGAGGTAACATGCATTCAATCAAATGTTTAAACAGAGCAGCTGGTGTAGAATTACACTTTATTTGTACGTTCAGTGCTACTGAGTGCATTGTGTTGCTGCCCAACATGTCGGATGCATTTTTTCCCCCCTGATAAATCATCTGAAAGGCTCCTTTAAAAAGTATTTCAAGTCCTAGTTTGATTACGAGCATGTTTCCAGCTGTATCTTGCAGTCGTCTTCTCCAGTGTCTTTGTTGGCACATTCCTGGAGCTGCATCGATTAATCCGATCAATTTTACATTGATTGTTTCTGTCTAGTGCTACTTGTGGCCAGAGATCCTTGTGGGTGCCATTAATGCTGCATGTTATGTCACTCAAGTGGAAACTGTACAGCACAGTTTTATGGGATTTGCCAAAATCAAACGTTTTCACAATTTCAAGTGGAAGCTGCGGTACAGTGACTGCACCTGAACGCGTCTCAGTGGGCTGCTGCTGGTGGAATTCATTGTGTTTTTCCCTTCATTAGATTCTGTGCAGCCATAAGCACGTCTCAAATTATATTACAACTCAGTGAATATATTAAACTGCTGGACATGAGACATGGTGGAAACATCTATCCAGCACTGACAATGACTAAACTAAGGCCTTTTTGTCCTTAAATGACTATTACAAATTAGAAAATAAACCTGGCTTTTCTGTGTTACTCATCAAATTTTAAAATCTGGTTCTACAGCTGTGAATCAAACAAAACTATTTGTTTCAAAATGCACATGTGCAGATATGTGATAATATAGATCATGACTTATAGAGGATCGTAACAGTTTTCCTTAAATGTTTCTTGTGAATCTTTCACAAAGATGTTATTTCAGTAGAAAATGTCTCATGTGGCGTGTAAACAGATGATGAGAAACGGCCTGACTGATTAAGAGTAAACCTGCAAATTAATTCAAAACTTGCATATCTTGTGTGTAAAAGTCTGTCTTTGGAAAACAGTCTATTAATATGTGTACGTCTCTGACATAGAAATGGGAGAGCATGGAGACAGCATTAGAATCTTCTGTCGCTGCCCTGCTGAAGCTTGACACTGACACTTTATGTGTCATTGCTTTCCCAGCAAACAGCATCATGTAGAGATTTGTAGCTCCGGTGTATCTTTTTTTTTTCACTCTCCGGTGTTCTTGCAGAGAGCAACGAGTTCATCCTGTACGCTGTGAGGAACTCCATCCATCGCTACGACCTGGCCACAGGCACTGACCAGGCCCTGCCTCTGGCCGGCCTCCGGGAGGCTGTAGCTCTGGACTTTGACTATGACAGGAACTGCCTGTACTGGGCTGACATCTCTCTGGACACCATACAGGTCAGTGAGGGATTCCTCTGGGAGGCAGCCAGGCCATACATTTTCTTTGACACCGTGTCCAAATACAAGGGAAGCAGGGCTTGTTAACATCAGTGCAGGGACTCCAGGGGAGCGTATTCACTCATGCCAACCTGGAAATGTTGCCCTCTTCTGAATAAGCTCCAGCAGCTTAACTCGTATTCACTTTTTATTCCACAGTTGGATGGATAGTGTCACACTATTAACCTAAAGTGGACTTTCCTTCTCTCTCCTGTAGCGTCTGTGTCTGAATGGCAGCACAGGTCAGGAGGTCGTAGTGAGGAAGGACCTGCAGAACGTGGAGGCCCTCACCTTTGACCCCATCAGTAGACTGCTCTACTGGGTTGATGCTGGAGCGCAGAAGATTGAGGTATTGAAGACAATCGTGTGTGTGTCTATGTATGCAATTACTGTAAATTCCGGACTATTGAGCGCACCTGAATATAAGCAGCACCCACTAACTTTAAAAAGAAAACAAGTTTTGTGTATATAAAGGCTGCACTTGTCTATAAGCTGCAGGTGTCCACGTTGTAACATGAGATGTTTATACACAAAGATTTTTTAAACTTTTAAATAAATATGTACCATAAATGCTTTTTTCCAAACAGTGTCTGTAACACGACTGGTTAAAAAAATAAAAAATACAGCAGCCTACCAGGAAAAGTCATAGATCGCTATCTTCATCTTCCTCCTGCGCACTAAAACCACTGAAGTCGTCTTCTTCAGCGTTGGAATTGAACAGCCTCAGAATTACTTCGTCACACACTTCCTTTGTCTCTCTTTCGTTGTCGCTCTCAATGTCACTTTTGCCTCGAGGCAAATTCGGAAAACTCGCAAAAATTCATAAATTAGCCGCATCATTGTTTAAGCCGCGGTGTTCAAAGCGTGTGAAAAAAGTAGCGGCTTATAGTCTGGAAATTACAGTACACACTGTTAAAAGTGTGGAAGTGCACAGGACTCTGGACGACTCCACTCAAAATGCACTTTCTGAACAGCTGTAGAACATCTGCGCTGTGTGTGGCTGAGCTGTCCAGACTTACATGTAGTTAAAATAATCCTAGTAACTCTCATCCAGCTCGTTTTGTTCTTTGTTATTCATGTGATGAATATTCTTTTGCTTCCACAGTTTCATTCCACAGTTTTTACAAGTGCTTGCTGTTAGACTGTGAGTGATGTTGTGTGCATTATTAAGTAGATTTAATCAGTAAGTTAAGACTGCCCAGTGGACATTTTTGCTTTACATTTGACATTTTTACTGCCATCTACAGCTTATTAAATTTGTTAAACTGAACTTGATAAATTAAGCCTAGTTTCACTGTTGTTGCATTTAAAGGTTTCAAACCCTGACGGAGACCTGCGTCATACTCTGCTCAACTCCAGCATCCTGGAACATCCCCGAGCTCTGGTTCTGCTGCCTGGAGAGAGGTAAAAACACACACGTTTGAGGTTGTATACTTACAATATGCAGAGCCTCACTGTTGTAGTGGATCCCATCTCCGAAACTTTACAATAAAGACACAAATATATCCCTACGTCACTCTAATGCTGCGCTTACACCAAATCAAGTATGATCTTTGGAGGAGATATTTGTCTGTGTACAAATAAATCAGGCTTCTGTTTTGCATGAGATGCGCTACCCTTTTACACAGAAACATTCCAGAAAGTAAACTGCTAGTATACAAGAAATGATTACTTTGCCTACTGCTTTCTGCCGCCTAAGCTTGTGTCTAAAATTCCCCCATTCTTACACGCACCAAAACACAGAGCTGGTTCCTCTTCTGCAAATGTGGTTCTGCTTTTATTTGAGATGAGCTCAGCTAATATAAAATAAAAGTTACCACAATGTGATGTTCATTTTTTCCTTGTTGGCTTTATTCTTTCCCTTATTCCTTTTTTATTTGGTCAGAAAATGGATTCATGCTTGACGCACTGAACTCGCTTCCTCTTTCACTGTTTATTCATATTAGGGGCATGAAAGGTTGATTTTGTGTCATTTTTGCATTGTATTGATCAAATACTGGATTAGTCTTAGTTGTAATAAATGAGATAAATGTCAAATTGTTCGTCATCTCCTATGAGAGGTGTGAGAGATTTGCTGTTAGAACTCTATTTAATAGTGCACCGATGGCAAAGATAAAACTATCCGTGTTATTGCTAAGCTCGTAATTACAATAAAACCAGTTTTACATTAAATCCAAATTTCGAGTAAGTTGCTGCTAAATGAATCCTGTATCCTCTCCATGGACGCCCTGCAGCCTGATGTTCTGGACTGACTGGGGAGACCGAGCGCCTGGCGTCTACCGGAGCTACATGGATGGAACCAACGTGTCGTGCATCGTGTCGGAGGGCGTCCGCTGGCCCAACGGCATCACGGCCGACGACCACTGGCTGTACTGGACCGAAGCCTACAGTGACCGCATCGAGAGAGCCGATTTCACCGGGGGCCAGAGGAGCGTTCTCATGGAGGGACTGCCCCACCCGTACGCCATCGCCGTCTTCAAGGTGAGACTGTGTGTGCTGATACAACAACACCTGCCTTTAGAAAATGCAGATTTCAGTTTTCACAAGCTTGCGTCGGATGTTGTTTTCAGAATGATCTGTACTGGGACGACTGGTCCAGAATGGGAATCTTTAAAGCTCCGAAGGCTGGTTCTCAGAGCAACGAGCTGATTGTTGGCAGACTCACTGGAGTCATGGACCTCAAGATCTTCTATAAAGGGAAGAACAGAGGTGAGGAGCAGAGCAGGACGTCACATCTGGTTTGAAATTAGGAGTCAAATCAGTCAAGTTACATCTAGACTTTGTATGTCAGGATTGCCGGTATTTATGACAGTAATTTAAATGAATTTGCCCACCAGGCCACAATGCCTGCGCCGACCAGCCATGCAGCCTGCTGTGTCTGCCTCAGCCCGGCCACCGACACACCTGTGTTTGCCCTGATGGTGCCCCGACTGTAAGCATGCCCAACGGAGAGCTGCAGTGCCAGTGTCCCAGCGGCTACCAGCTCCATAACAGCACCTGCATCAAGACCGGTGAGACAAAGCACATCCCACAATGATCTTGTGCAGAAAGATATACGATCTTGTCTCTGTTGGAAATAAGAGCCATCATCTCAGAGGGTTCAGCCTGAATAATTAGCGGTTTGCACATGACCCTTGTCTTTCTATGATCAGAGCACAGCTGTTTGCCCAACCAGTACCGCTGCTCCAACGGCCGCTGCATCAGCAGCATCTGGAAATGTGACAGCGACAACGACTGTGGAGACATGAGTGATGAACGAGAGTGTCGTGAGTATCAGGTCGCGACGTTTTTCTCAAAATAAACATGCATCAGCTGAGACAAAAACACAACTTTGTCCCTGTTTGTGTTCTTTGTCAGCCACCACGACCTGCGACCCGTCCAACCAGTTTCGCTGCGTGGCCTCAGGGTCCTGCATCCCGCTGGCCTTCAAATGTGACCACGAGGACGACTGTGGGGACAACAGTGACGAGGAACACTGTGGTGAGATGTGCTCCTCATTGTTGTTTACTGTCTGTGTGGCTGTCAGTAGCCCGAGCAAATATGCGTTGGAGGTGTTAACTGACAGTTTGCTTTTAATTTTTATGCATTGTGTTAACAGTGAGAAATCATTTGTTTGCATAGGTTCTTGCTGTCATTCACAGTTGTTAGTGTTTTGTACATAAAATGATAATTAGCAGCAAAAATTAAATGAAGATTATGAAGAGAGTTAAATTCAAAAACCAGTGAATCCACAAAACAGGAAATTGGAAACATGAACTAAGGTGTAGACAAAAGTGTTTTAGGAAATTAAGGAAGGTGTAAGATTGAAATGTAGATCTAGATTCTAGTTAAAACAAATGATCTGGGAGGGGAGGTTAAATTGTGGGTGCAACGGTTTTGCACAATCTCCTGGCAGCCATCTGAATAAGCTGCACTTACTTCAAGGATTTCTGAGTGACTCAAAAGAATCCCAGTCTTGGCAAGAGCAAAATTAATAAAAGGGAAAGGAAGTGACCTTCATATCAACAATCAGTTTTTGCATTACATCTCAATCCTTTTCATATTTGCATATCAAGACATCTTAATAAAGTGCAGCTGCTTTGAGGTAGCTGCCGTTTGTTTTGGAGAGGCGACGCTGAGTGCTGACATGATTCTGGAGGGTTTTAGTGGAACTACAGAGAATGTGAGCTGGAACTAAAGTTTACCAAGTTGATATTTTGTTGCCACAGTATGTATATTTGCTGCCACATCGCTTTCGTATGTGACTCTAAAACACATTCTGTAACCAATCTGTATTAAGTTTAATGTTATTGGAAAATGGTTTTTTTTTTTTCTCTTAAAGTTTGCTTTTGCGCAGCTGATCCTTACAATTAACTTCATGATCAGGATTATTCGTGTTCCACATCCGTTTTATGCATTCACTGACCTTGTTTTTTGATGCATTTCCTAGAGTCTCACCAGTGTGGCCCCGGGGAGTTCACATGTGCACGAGGTGTTTGTATCCGCGAGGTGTGGCGCTGCGATGGAGACAACGACTGCAGAGACTGGTCGGATGAAGTGAACTGCACAGGTGAAGAAGGATTTTCTGACTACAAGATGCATCGCACTGCCCTACAAACACGAAACACACCACATATTTGGTCAAAAGGAGTTATGAAGTACAACCTGTGCTTGACTTTCATGGGACTCATCAGCACACATACTGCACACTCTGCCATAGGTTTTAGACATTTGTCTCCACCACTAAAGTCAGATCACTATGTCATGTGAACGTTAGCTACTGAGTGGCCACAGGTAGCTATAAGTACAACTAAAGCTAAGTATACTTTTTGGACATTTTGTATATTTAGTTAGTCATTTTGCACAATTGAAAAATGGCATCAGCTTATAATGAGAAAGAGAAAACCAGCGAAACTCTGCAGATATCAGTAGCTGCCATCACATTTTGATCTCTTGGGACTTGTATGTGATTCAGTAGTTCACCTGCCTGTAAATCACATACTTGCATGAATTGAATTTCAAATGAATGTGTGACATTGATTTCAGTAGAGCAGTTGAAGTAGATCAGAAAGCTCTGAGACACAGTTTCTCTGAGCATCACACGAAGATCATCCAGAGACAGAGTGCAGTGGCTGCATTTTCAGGCATTGTAAGCTTTACAACAATAATATTTTGTTTAAAATAATCGCCATTGTCTGCACCGTCGTCTCTGCTCTCTGATTTTGTTCACTTGAAAAAACCAGCATGATCTATTGAAGTGGAAATATAATCCAACTTGTCACCAAGAAACAAGCAGTCACAGGGATAATCACACAACTACGTCATTATTTTTTGCTTATCTTAATACACATCCACTGTCCTGTAAGTATGTATTATGACAAAGATGTATGTTTGGTTATGCAGACTTAATCAAAGTAGTGTGCTTAGCATAAAGTATGTGTTGCAGTTAAAAAGGTATAAATTCTGGGGCGTCGCTATAGCTCACCTGGTTGAGCTGGCATCCCATGTGCACGGCTACAGTCCCAATGTGGAGGTCATGAGTTTGAATCCCTCTCATGACCCTTTCCCACACGTCCTCCCCCCATTCTTCTCCCCTACTTTCCTGTCTCTCTCTCACTGCACTATCAATAAAGGCACAAAAGCCAAAAAAAAAAACTTAAAAAAAAAAGGTATAAAGCGCCTTCTCTTACCAGCCTTTAATCTCTCTTTTTTGTCCCTAGTTGGCCACCATACATGCGAGCCCAGCAGCTTCCAGTGTCACACAGGCCACTGTATTCCACAGCGATGGAAGTGTGACGGTGATGATGACTGTCAGGACGACTCAGATGAAGATCCTCAATATTGTGGTAGGTGGACATCCCTAACAGATGTTGGCCGAATGTTAAAGTCATTTAAATGAGTCATTAATCAGTTCTTATGTGCTGATGCATGTATTTGTTGAACTCATTGGGTCAGTTTGTACTAAACTAACCAAACAGCCCTGTTAAATACAATGGCGCCTTTACAGTCATCTCATCAGATATAAGCTCAGATTGGTATGTTTTTACTTGATCTTATCATTAGCTATGGTGATGTGACCAGTGTTTGTTGTCGTTCTTTCACACATTTGTGCACAAGTGACTTTTCCTGAACTGGTCAGTGCGTTTTGGCAGATTATAATTTTAATTCTGAATATAACCGGAATTACTTAAAGTGAAATGTTTGAGGCTAGTTAGTGATTTAGTTCTTTATTCCGATGAAATTAACGTGAATTACCTTGTGTGTGGAGAGATACGACGCAATTTAAGCTTTATCTAATGCAGTGGTTCTCAAACTGGGGGTCGGGACCCTCATGGGGATCTCAAGATAATTTCAGGGGGTCGCCAGATCATTGTAAAAAAATAAAAATAAATAAAAATAAAGCCTACATTTATCAAATAAATGTGTATCAGGGCTGTCAAAATTAAAAGTGTATACTTGTTCCCACTCCTTTTTCAAGCTTGTTATTAATATTATGATTTGATGATGCAATGTTATTGTTCCTTTTTGCTCTTTTTAAAATTATTTTCTTTTGTTTTTATATTTTTTTTCCCTTTCATTTGTTCGAATTAAATTCAATTCATTCATTCATTTAAAAAAATAATGTGTTAATGTAAAGAGATTAATCTGTTTAATTAACACATTAATTTTTAACACATTAAAGCATAAACAACCAAGTTATTACACATGATATATAAAAAATTCAAACTGGGGGGGTCACAAACACAAACTTATGTTATCTTGGGGGTCGTGGCTCAAAAAGTTTGAGAACCACTGATCTAAAGCATTTCAGATTTGACTTCCCTGTGAAGCTTTTTCAAAAGCTTTTGTTCCCTGTAACTCCTATAAACCCGAAACATTAAGCACTATGGAGTATAAAACTGGAATGTCATTTTTCATGCCCTGTCACGTCCAAGCAGATGTACAGCTACAGACAGAAAGATAAGAAATAGCCACAGTTAAGGACCGATAATGGAGACTCTCTGTTAGCAGTAATGCTTTATTCTTATTGTCTTGTGTGTTTTCAGAGGGAACCAGGTGTAAAGGCTTCCTGTGCGCTAATGGCACCTGCCTGGCAGCCACTGCACACTGCAATGGTATTCAGGAGTGTCCAGATGGTGCTGACGAGCACAATTGTGGTAAGTGGCCCCATTTTTTAAAAGTGAAAATCACGCATTTAACTTTCCTCATGTGTCCAAATGGTGTTGTTTGAATGCTATAAGGTATGTCATGAGTGAAGTGAGCAGTCAACACCATGGCTGAGTATTTCCACCTTCAACCTTCAGTGTAGGGTTTTATATGTAGTAAAGCTAAGGAACCAATCCTGTCAGCTTGCATTGTGGGACTTTGTCTATCATTCTTCTTCAGAACTTGTTTTCCGGTCCAAACATTTATGCATGAATTACTGCAGTATAGTTTTACAGTGTCTGAGCAGAGTTGTGGGTGAACCATACAGGAAGCTACTGTGTGTAGAGATACATCTCAGCCATTTCAAATCAGGAAGGGATCATCTTCATAGAAAAAAAAAACCCTTCTAAATGTGTAACTGTGAGTTTTTAAAAGGTTAAACCAATTACCAGAGAGGAACGTTACCAGAAAGCTTATTACCAGTATGTAAGCAAAGCATCTTTGAGCCATAGTATGTTTTTTAAGACGAAGAGTGGGCCGAGAAAAGAGCCTTGTGGGATGCCACAAGTTATGTCTAACTTAATACGTGATTGCTTTGTTGTCACTGTGTGTGTTCAAATGTTGTTTATACCTTTCATGTTAAAAAGTCTGCAGAATATTTATTGGACAGGAAAACACACTACAAAGCCGGTGGCGTGGGCGTGATGTTGGATTATTTCATTGTGTGCTGATGAGTCATTTTGCATGTCGGTTGGTTTGTTTCACCCTCAGATCCCCTGTGTACTCGCTACATGGAGTTTGTTTGTAAGAACCGAGCCCAGTGTCTGTTTCAGTCTCTGGTTTGTGACGGGATCAAACACTGTGAAGACGGCTCTGATGAGGACGCTGACTATGCCGGATGTGGTGAGCAACGATCACTTATGTGCACTGTATTGTGTTTGACTCCAGTGAATACATACATACATACATACATACATACATACATACATACATACATACATACATACATACATATATACCTTGCTTGAATTTAATTTCTAAATGTAGAGCTGCAACAATTAATCAATTAGTTACTGATTATTAAATTAATCACTAACTTATGTGGTAATCACTGGATCTGTTTTTATGAACAAACTGTTTAAATTTTCTGATTCCAGCTTCTTAATTGCAAATATTTTCTTTCCACCTCAGTGATAGTAAACTGAATATCTTTGGGCTGTTGCCAAAACGAGGCATTTGTCATCTTGTGCACCATTTTCTGATATTTCATAGTCTAAACAACTAATCGGTTAATCTAGGTAATAATTAGCATTAATGATGTTGTTAATGGCAGCCCTGTTCCAAAGTAAACAAGAGCTTTTGCTGGTGAGGTAACACAATATGTCCTTGTGTATTTTCTGTCAGCTACACCATCTGAATTTGGCAAAGTGTGCGACGCCTACACCTTCCAGTGTGCCAACGGAGTGTGTGTGAGCCTGGAGTGGAAGTGCGACGGCATGGATGACTGTGGGGATTACTCTGATGAAGCCAACTGTGGTGAGCAGGAAGGACTCATGGAGAAATACCCAGCTCACACACACTCTACACCTCGTGTTTCATATTAAAGGAAACCTAAACAAGTAGAGGCTGAGGCTGGCTTTTGCTCTACCCATTGCAGCTGCTCCCAGTGAAGTCCCCGGCTGCTCCAGGTATTTCCAGTACGAGTGCAAAAACGGACGCTGCATTCCGACGTGGTGGAAGTGTGACGGAGAGAATGACTGTGGGGACTGGTCGGACGAAGCCCCGTGTACCGGTACGCACTTGTTTGGATTATTTGGTGTTAAAAGCCACAGAACTTTATACATCATTGTTGATAACATAATTTTTCATTATTAGCAATAACGCTCACACAACTAAACATAAATATTACCATTTGCGGTATTGTACATGAAAGCTAGTTTTCTCCTGCAAAATCTTGGCAGGTCATAGGAAATACATACACAGAGCACTACTAGACAAACTGGACAAACAAGACAACACATGAAGTTGCACAAAAAGTTATATACAGTTATTGTATTTGTTCATTGTATTATACAAACACAATTCACATACACTTGTCTCTGTGTATTTGATACCTCAGTTTTCATCTATTTGCTTTTTGATTGACCAAATTTCCCTTCCACGTCAGCTCATGTAACTGGTATCTCAAACCATTGCAGGCGGTGTCACTCCTCACAGTGTGGACCCTTCTCCCACCACCTGCGCCCCCAACCGCTTCCACTGTGGCTCCGGAGCTTGTATCATCAACACCTGGGTGTGCGACGGCTATGCTGACTGCACCGACGGCAGCGATGAACTCGGATGTCCTACAGGTGCTAACTCGCTGCTGATTGGCTGAGGGGCTTTTCATAGAAGAAATTTAATGTCCCATTCTGACTGACCAAATGAAGTACATTCAACTTAAGAGAAAAGAATAACAAAAAAAAAGATGCGTAGTTTACATCCTTACTAGTCTTGTTATTTCTCTGACAACAGTTAATGGCTCCGTGACTTTGGCCCCGGTACCCACCGAGTACGCTCCCCCACCTCCCTCCCCTGGTCGCTGCAGTCAGGGTCAGTTCATGTGCCGCCGGCCCCCCCACTGCATCCCCGACTGGCAGCACTGTGACGGTCAACTCCACTGCCAGGACGGCTCTGACGAAGCCCACTGCCGTGAGTTTTTGCATGATATACCATCACACACACAAAGAAAGTGGAAAATGAAAATTGGCAGCAACATTTTTTATTAGTCTTGGCATCATGCAGATATACAGATAGTACAAATATGATATCAGAGGGTTGCAGGGTTTGAAATTATTTGAAGTCATTTCATGTTTGTCGTGTCGACCACGATCTTTATCATACTTGTGAACAGCAGCTGTTGTCTCTGTATTAGTGTAAGTTATGGCAACAGAGGATGCTCTGCACAGTATTTATTTATCTTGCATTATGCATGAACACAGCCTACCAGCTTTTAGCTACCGAGCCACACATACTAACATAACTTCTTTAATGTCAAATAGCTTCTCTGGCTACCTAAAGATCTATGTAGCTAGGTGAACAGTTCTTTAGTTTTTAAAAAAAAAGGCTACATTAGTTATATCTTCTCTCTGTTAGTGCTGTTGTTTACAGAAGTTCTCCCTAACAAAAACATATATACTTGGTTGTTCTTTGCCGAGGTTTTCCCTTTACCTGAGTCGATGCTTCTAACCACCATTCAGAGTTGATGGTACAGAGAAAAGCCAATCATCCAATTTATTGCTGCCTTTTCATTTGAGCCTTCAGTGATTTTTTTACATTCATTCAGCTTCAGGTGCTTTGCAACAACACGTAAGAACTGCACATGAGCCGTTCCATGGTAGGAAAATCCCAGCACATAAAATTTAAAAATGTTTTAAAAGATCCTGACTTTGTTCTGTATCATTACATCATATGTTTAACCTGCCTTTCGAGCTTGAACATTAGAACAGAGCAGCACATGAGCTATGGTTTATATCATTTCTAGATGACAAAAAGGCCTCCAAGATTTTGTATGTAAATGTGTTCACTCATTATAATGTTGTGTAAACAAAACCTTTGTAGTGCTGCAAAAGAAAACATTATTTATGCAAGTCATTGTTTCACGTCACTGCTTACAGATCAGCAGGTAATAAGATACCAGAACAGTAAAGATCAAACCTCTCTGTGTCTCCAGCCACACGATCACCTCTGTTCTGTGTCAACGGGACTCGCTGTGCTGACGACGAAGCCTGCGTGCTGGACAGCGAGAGGTGCGACGGCTTCCTGGACTGCTCTGACCACAGCGACGAGGACAACTGCACCTGTAGGTTCACGTTACTGTCAGCGTGGCCACAATTTTTTTAAATATGCAAAACAAACTTTGGTGTGAGCAGATCACCATCAGGTCCACTGTGAATGCGTGTAGTCTCTGGCAGTGCAATGCTGCCACCTGCTGGTAGTTTATATCTGTTGCTCTGCAGAAAATTCAACAAGACCGATCCTAACGTTAGACTCTACTTTCTCCTTTGTCTCTAAGCGGACACTCTGGCTTATAAAGTCCAGAACCTGCAGTGGACACCCGACTTCTTGGGTGCCATCACTCTGACCTGGTCCCGTCCCAAAAGCCTTCCCCTGGACTCCTGCTACTTCCTCATCTACTACAGGTGAGCCTGGACGCACCAACACTGCAGGAGGCGGTGGTGTTACAGTTACTAGAATCAGTGTGACACGTCCTGCCCCGATGCCCCGATGCCCCGATGCCCCGATAACTCTCATCTCTTGTTTCTGTGAGCAGGCTCGTGGGCACGCAGCAGTGGACCACCATGGACACCCACAGCAACAAGACCAGCTACAAACTGACCGTGCTGAAACCAGACACCACCTACCACGTGAAGGTGCTCACGCAGTGCCTCAGCAGGCTGCACAAGACCAATGAGGTGATCACGGTCAGGACTCCAGAGGGACGTGAGTATCACATGATCAACACACACAAAGCTGTGCTTCAGTACTGACGCTGTCTCTGATCGAAATGTTAACAAATGTGCAAGAAATTTTAAGCTAACTCTGGATTTTAATTATTAGTAATAATAATTTTACATTTTCTGATCCGATGCTGTCAGAAAGTCCTCCTTCAAGTAGCTGCTACACAGAAAAGAGAAAACTATCCTTGTCCTAGCTTGTCTGTGCCATCAACCTGATGTCACTTTTGAAGCTGTTGTGATGGTTTAACCAATAGCTTAGATTGTCACTCTGGTACTCTGTGATAGGTTGTTTGCATTTCTCCTCCAAGTGTCAGGAGGAGAAGATCCGTTAAAATGCCGTTCTTAGGACTTCATCCTGTGCAGTTTTTGTTTGTTTGTTTAATCTTGTGTCTTCATTTTGGGGTGAATATCTGTGTATGTGTGTCTGGACATGGTGCAGTGCCCGACCCTCCCAGGAACCTGCAGCTGACGTGTGATAACGGTGAAGATGGGACAGTGGAGGTTTCCTGGAACCCTCCTGACAAAGGACACGGCCTCATCAGAGAGTACATTGTGAGTCGCTGTCTCTGCAACAAACTGATGTTCATTTTTACAGTGAAAGTGGAAACAAGTGCTACAGTGGATGAACTGCCATCCTCGAGACCAGTGGTTCTCAAACCATTTGAGCCAAGACCCCCAAGATAACATAAGTTTGTGTTTGTGACCCCCCCCAGTTAGAATTTTTAACATGGCATGAGTAATAACTTTGTTGTTTATGCGTTAATGTGTTAAAAATGAATGTGTTAATTCCACAGATTAATCTCTTTACATTAACACGTTAATTTTCTTTTGAATGAATGAATGAATTGAATTCATTTCAAACAAATGAAAAGGAAAAAAGTATAAAACAAAAGATAATAATTTAAAAAAGAGCAAAAAAGAATAATAATGTCGCATAATCAAATCATAATATTAACAAGTCTGAAAAAGGAGTGGGAACAAGTATGCACTTTTACTTTTGACAGCCCTAATACACATTTATTTGATAAATGTCTGCTTTATTTAGGCTTTATTTTTTACAATGATCTGGCGACCCCCTGAAATTATCTTGGGACCCTCATGGGGGTCCCAACCCCCAGTTTGAGAACCACTGCTCGAGACTGTAGTTTTATTTTTTTGCTCTCCATGTCAGATTTGTGGGTAATTACATGAATGTCATCAGAGTATCTGCAGATTGTTAAAGGGTCTGCAAAGGCCATAGTTACTTTTATACTTTTATTTATCTTGCAAAAATTGTACATAGCCGACATCAACATGCCTGCAGATGTTACTGAAATAATGGTGATTCTACACACTACAGATATTTAGCTGTTTACGTTTTAATTTTTGTTTCCATTCTTGTCGCCGCTCTGCTCTGATTAAACAAGTCCTTACTTTTTTTGTCAGCTGAGTCACTAATGGCTTCCCAGATGTGCTGACAGTGCAGAATTTTGCATTTCTCACAGAATATGTTTCGAGCAATCAGTATATTTTTGACACGTTTTGAAATGAGACATGTAGAATAATGTGATTTTAATTAAATATTACAATTTCAAGCTTAGGTTTGGTTAAGTTTTCTGACTGAATCACAAATGAGCAGTTCAAGGACTCTTGTAAAGTAAAATATTTAAAGACTTTTTTTCTGTTTTTACAGTTTCTGGTTAATGAATAGTGTCATTTTGGCAATTTTATGGTGTTTATTTTATTTTTAAAATAGAATGTGCTTTTTCAAACCTGCTGAGATGTTTCTGATTCCAGCGGTTGAACGTCTTGATTATATATTTTTTTCTTTTTTTGCATGTGTTATGGAAAAATGTTTGTATTAATCTCGAAACAGATTTTTTTAAAAGATGCTCAGCCCTGATGTGTGTTTGCTGTTGTTTCAAAAAGTTTGCAGATATCCTGATTTTACACAAACACACAATACAGGAGCAGTTTGCGTTTTCTCTCAGCTGTAATCTGAGTTTTTGTGCTGCTGATGGCTTTTGGTTTGAATAAAGGGATATTACATCATGTTAATCCTCCTTCAGTGAGCTGCAAGTCATCGTGGTGGCTTTGTCTACATGTCACACTTTTAATTTGGCAGTGACACATGCTGATGATACTTTGTGTGAGAGGTTTATGAGTTATACATTTGCTATCGGCCTATCTGTGTCTGACTTAATTTGCCTGAATCTGTGTGTGTGTGTGTGTGTGTGTGTGTGTGTGTGTGTTGACAGGTTGAATACAGTGAACATGAAGGTCTTGACTGGACATCACAAAGATCCACCAAAACCAGCACTGAGGTGAAGGAGCTGCAGCCAGACACGCTGTACAGGTTCAGGGTAAGACACCTTCACCGCTCCACTGTGGTGAGATTCTGTGTTGTGATATTATCAGGTGCAGCTTTTACATTCACTGATGCTTCCCAGGTGGCTGCAGTGACCAGCCGAGGTGTCGGAAACTGGACCGAGGTGAAATCCATCACCCCCAAGAAAGGTAACCTGGCCTTCCTCACAGCTGTAATGCTGCTCCAGTTTAAAAAAAAAGCTGTCCAACGGTGACATCTACTGGTATTTAGCAAGTATTACAGGTTTCGCAGGTGTGACGTGTTTGGAACCATACGCTGCCCATAGCTTCACCTGAGATTATGGGATTGTTTGGATTTCATATTTTTGTCCATTCCTGCACAAAGCCAGTCACTGGGGAGTGTTTTTGTTTCTGAGAAATAATTTTTACAAGAAGGCAGGAGCAGCCACATAACCTCTGGAAGGCCACTTGCTGCTGCCTTTCCACAATTTTTCACTTATGTCAGGGGTGTCCAATCCTGGTCCTCGAGGGCCACAGTCCTACATGTTTTAGATGTTTCCTCTTCCAACACACCTGATTCAAATGATCAGCTCATCATCAAGCTCTGCAGAAGCCTGATAATGATCCTGCATTAATGTCATTTTTCAAAATCCATCCATCCATCCATCCATTATCTATACACCACTTAATCCTAACTAGGGTCATGGGGGGCTGGAGTCTATCCCAGCTGACTCAGGGTGAAGGCAGGAGACACCCTGGACAGGTCACCAGTCTATCACAGGGCTACACTTAGAGACAGACAACCAAGCACACTCACATTCACACCTACAGACAATTTAGAATCACCAATTAACCTCAACATGTTTCTGGACCTTGTGGGAGGAAGCCAGAGAACCCGGAGAGAACCCACGCTGCACGGGGAGAATGTGTTACCTCCACGCAGAAAGATCTCTGGTGTCCTTGTCGGGACACGAACCAGCGATCTTCTTGCTGCGAGGCAACGGTGCTAACCACCGCTCCACCTTGCAAAAATGTCAATGCCAAAAGGTTAAAAAGAAAATAAAAAACTAAGCAAAATGTAACATGGTACAGCTATTTAAAGTGCTTAGAGCTCATAATAATGAAGCATTTAACCGTAACTTCTCAGTATCAGGGATTTGCAGATTATAAATTTATCGAAATGACGCGAGAAAAAAAAAATCAAGATGTAAGAAAACAAAATTTGCCCTGAGACTGACGTGTAAATCCAGATTCTGCTAAGTCAGTTTGTCACAGAGTTAAAGTGCTGTTATTAAAACCCAACATTTTGTCCAAAATGCCTTTAATGGGGAAAAAAAACAACTGAAACTGTATCCCATGAAACAGATGGAGATAGTGCTGAGTTTGCATTAGCAACAAAATTAGATTGAAATGTTTAAAGCAAATAAAATTGGCATCATTTGTACCGCTGCCCCTGAAGATATTTCCTCATCAGCCATCTGGAATACAAATTAAAATCACTGCAAATACAAGTAAACAGTTTCTGACCGACACTTTCTGTGCCACAGCTCTTCCTCCTCCGTCTGTGATCGCCGACAGCATCACCGGAGACTCCATGAGCCTTTCATTCAGCCTGAACTCCCAATATGATGTAAGAGCTTCTCTCTGCAGCAACTCCTAAGTTTTTACGTAATGTTCTGTCTGTATCTGTGCAAACACGACTGATGGTTCCTGGTTTTTCCTTCAGGTGAAACAGTACATAGTGATTCTGTCCTGGCAGTTTGATACCCACGTCAAGGAGAGCAAGAACTACACGGTCACAGCGGGGATCCTCAAAGGTGCCGTGATGTCTTTGTCTCGTCATGTTTCAAATCAGATGTGTACTTACTGGGGTCAGTTTGGTTTTTAACGTGAGGCGTGTTTTCAGCTACAAACCTGACATCGGGGACGGTGTACGAGGTGGCTGTGTGGGCTCACACCAGTATAGGAGACAGTCCCACCGCCCTGTCCCATCACCAGACCACCGGCACCCAGCCAGAGCGGCCCTCCCTCAAAGCCCGGGCTCTCAACCAGACGGCTGTGGAGTGCATCTGGACCATCAAAGGACCCCCTGCACAGGTGCAACACACACACAGAACATGACAATTAAAACAAAGTTTGTTCTCGTTCCTTGCCGCAGGACTTTCACTCTCTCACGCTGTCACACTCTGACGGCTGCACACCTTTAGCGTATGAAGCGAGAACAGTGCATATGAAATGACACGTGCAGGTGGTGGAGAAGCGGAGTGTGTGAGCCTGATGCCCCTGACAACACACTCATCTGTTCACTGAAGTTGATTAGGGAAATACATCAGTCAAATCCTACACTGAAGCTTTAAGACAAGTCTGTTGAAGAGCTAAAATACCTCAATNAAACAAGTGCTACAGTGGATGAACTGCCATCCTCGAGACCAGTGGTTCTCAAACTGTTTGAGCCAAGACCCCCAAGATAACATAAGTTTGTGTTTGTGACCCCCCCCAGTTAGAATTTTTAACATGGCATGAGTAATAACTTTGTTGTTTATGCGTTAATGTGTTAAAAATGAATGTGTTAATTCCACAGATTAATCTCTTTACATTAACACGTTAATTTTCTTTTGAATGAATGAATGAATTGAATTCATTTCAAACAAATGAAAAGGAAAAAAGTATAAAACAAAAGATAATAATTTAAAAAAGAGCAAAAAAGAATAATAATGTCGCATAATCAAATCATAATATTAACAAGTCTGAAAAAGGAGTGGGAACAAGTATGCACTTTTACTTTTGACAGCCCTAATACACATTTATTTGATAAATGTCTGCTTTATTTAGGCTTTATTTTTTACAATGATCTGGCGACCCCCTGAAATTATCTTGGGACCCTCATGGGGGTCCCAACCCCCAGTTTGAGAACCACTGCTCGAGACTGTAGTTTTATTTTTTTGCTCTCCATGTCAGATTTGTGGGTAATTACATGAATGTCATCAGAGTATCTGCAGATTGTTAAAGGGTCTGCAAAGGCCATAGTTACTTTTATACTTTTATTTATCTTGCAAAAATTGTACATAGCCGACATCAACATGCCTGCAGATGTTACTGAAATAATGGTGATTCTACACACTACAGATATTTAGCTGTTTACGTTTTAATTTTTGTTTCCATTCTTGTCGCCGCTCTGCTCTGATTAAACAAGTCCTTACTTTTTTTGTCAGCTGAGTCACTAATGGCTTCCCAGATGTGCTGACAGTGCAGAATTTTGCATTTCTCACAGAATATGTTTCGAGCAATCAGTATATTTTTGACACGTTTTGAAATGAGACATGTAGAATAATGTGATTTTAATTAAATATTACAATTTCAAGCTTAGGTTTGGTTAAGTTTTCTGACTGAATCACAAATGAGCAGTTCAAGGACTCTTGTAAAGTAAAATATTTAAAGACTTTTTTTCTGTTTTTACAGTTTCTGGTTAATGAATAGTGTCATTTTGGCAATTTTATGGTGTTTATTTTATTTTTAAAATA